AAAATTATATTAAAATATAGAAAATAATGTAAATCCAATAATATAAATAAAAACGGTTTTCAATTTTTTTTTAATTATAGTTCAATAAATTATTCAATAATAATAAATCAAATCAAAGCGCAAGTACATATATATATATATAGATATATGTATGTACATATATATTAATGTACATTGTATATATTTAATATATAAATGTAAAAATAATTCCAACTGTAGAATTTAGGTATGATTTTTATGACATACAATTCAATTTTATTATAATTTGAATAAACATTTTGATTTAAATATTGAATTATTAAATGAAAATAGAAATAAGAACATATGCAGTATATGTATAAATTTATTAAGTCTTTATAAACATTAAAATATGAATAATGCATAATAATTGTACAAAATATAAAAAAAATGATTAGAATTAGAAAACTATTACAACATTAAAATTTATATTTGAACTTATGTTAGAATTATTGCAATTGACTTGTTATAATTATTTAATGTAGGTTTAATAATTTTAATGTAGTTCGTTTCTTTTCAGATTTTATACAGTGCCAACAGTGTTATGTGCAGTGAATAATAACGTCGGAGGCTTATTGTGCATTAAACTTTTTTTTGTTATTAATGTGACTTAGTTTATTTGATATAGTGTTTAGTGAAGTAATTTTTCATTTACCATTTTGCGTTATTTCGAGTACATGGTTCACACTTTTTTTTTTAATTTTCGAAAAACGAACGAACGTATTATGATGAAAATTGCGCGTTTGAGCTACGTTCCTGCCGCCTACCCCCACGGCAGGTCCAAGTAGTCGGGTTTCACATTTAAATTTAATTTAGAGATTAATTTTGGTTTTATATCTCTGAGTGTATGGACCCCTGCGTTGTTTTCCCAGAAGCACCGTAACCCATGCACTTAATTCAATAATTAATATTATTTATGCCATTATTTTTATAATTATTATTAAATTTAATTTTTTATTGTATTGATGAATGGGCCATGGAAAGAAGTAACTTTTTTATAGATTTATAATATTCAGTTACTTTTTTTTAAGTTAATTTGATTACTTTTCGTGCCGTAATGTAGTGAACACAATTTCGTGAATTAACTTTAATTTTACTGGTCGCACAATGAGTCTCCTGGTGGAGGAATGCTGAATTTATAAGAAGTTAAGCTTGGCAATGTTCGTGAGATGGTACGAAACTCTGAGCTATGTACAAATCTTTTTAATCTGAGTAGAATTAAATAAAATTTAATTTTAGGTTGAAGACAGAGATACTAGAGGAATAGATCCTGAACCACTGTGACTGAAACGGAAGAATGTTTACCAGGACGTTAGTGGTGACCAGTGTACAAGAGTAGGATGGACCACTTTGCAACCAGGAGCGCACACGACCAGAAGAACGTTTGTATATTCAGATAGTAACTAAGATAGATCACTTCACTAAATAGGATGGACCACTTTACGACCAGGTGAACGTTATATTAAGATAAGATAATATTATGATCTATCTTAGCAAGTATCTTACTTGCTAAGATAGATCATAAGATATTATTTTTTGCGATCATTTCCATATTATTTTGTTATATTAAGATATCTATCTTACTTGCTAAGATAGATCATAAGATATTAATTTTTTGCGATCATTTTCTAATCTATTATATTATTTCATCGGGGCCCCATTTACGTTATTCATTTTTCATATTTGATTCGTGGACGGATTTATATACATATTATAAATAAGATATATCTTGTGCAAAATCGTGTCATATACAGTGCCAGACAGTGTTGTGTACAGTGATATATTATGATATATACAGTGCAAGCTTGATATTTACAATTCAAGATCTTGATATAGATCAAGATCAAGATCCATACAGTGAAACATCAAGATCAAGATCCATACAGTGAAACATCAAGATCAATTTCCATACAGTGAAACATCAAGATCAAATTCCATATAGTGAAACATCAAGATCAAGATTCATACAGTGAAACATCAAGATAAAGATCCATACGAGATGAAGATACATACAATATTAGAACCAACCAGAAAATTGCATACAAAATTGGAGGGCGTACACATGGATTTTAAGGATATTATTAAGTTAAAATTAGTAGTTTGCTATTTTTTATTGTATAAATGGGTGGGGAAGACGGCAAGGACCTCCCAGTTCGCACAGATTTTGCGTTTTTTCACAATTATTTAATATTAATTCATATAACAATACTCAACATACAAATTTATGAATTTTATGAATGCACTTCACTAAAAGCTTCATAGGGCTGGGAACCTATGAAGTTAAAGTATTTACATGGTGGATCTTAGGGGGGTACATCATGTAAATACTTTTTTTTTTTTTTTTTTTTTTTTTTTTGTTTTTCTTAATTACAAAATTAGCTCAGTATATTACAATTTTACGTTTATTTTCTACCAGGTCCTTGCATCGTCTTCTTTTTTTTAAAAAAGAATATCTTCATATACATTCAATCATTTCTTGGGGTATTTTTCATGTTACATTGGGGTTATTTAAGTTAGACTTAAATTAGGTTTAGTTAATTAATTTAAGTTATTTTGTAAGTGGATTAGGGCTGTACTAAATTTGTACGGCGACACCACAATAAAAAAAACGCGCCTGGCAACTATACCTCCTGGGTGGTGTGGAAAATAGTTGCATCTTAGCTATAAGTATAATAATTATCAATTTAATTATTTTATTAATTATATTTAATTAATATATAAATGTGTAATAAAAAATGTAAAATACGCTGATGTTAAATGTCCAAATATTCAATATAATAAAACTCTTAAAATAATCTTTATTTTTCAATCTGAAAATCTCCAATTTTTTTCAGGCAAAATTATAATTTAATAAATAATTTTTTTAAAAAATTTTATTACGTTTTGAACAAGTGCATGGTTTGGATAATAATATTAACATATTATTCTGGATTATAATATTATGTCCAATAGTATTTTTTGCCCTCATTTTTTTTTTATTTAGAATTTTTATTTTACTAATATAGAACTAACCTGA